AAATTCAGTAACAATAAGTATCAGGAAATACCTCCAGATCACGGTTTCATCGACTGCTCCAAATAAATTGTTAGCAAATATCGGTCCATTGTCATTAATATCGCGTAAATTAACCTGAAAAGTTGACGAAACAAATAAGAATTTGCGGAAAATTAAGCAATCAATTTGATATAATCAATAATTGAACATTTAGCGAACTATAAAATATAATACTTAGTTTGGAAGGATGAATGAAGAAGTAGAAGTACACATACTTAGCAGACAAATGCTTCCTGTACAGTTTACTTTGATTTTATTTCTGCAAAATTACGGTTAAAAAAATAGTCGAAAAAGTAATATAAAGAAGTGAATATTCTTATCAATACTGTCAATGTTTTTGGTTAAAAACACGCTTTACCTGCACATCAGCGTAGCCAATCAGTCCATGGCCATCATCGTCAATCGCTTGTACAATGAATTTCCAGACAGATACACCAGCTGGAGGATCACGATCCAGGGACCGTATTACTTCAATATTGCCGCTGTATTGGCCAACCCGGAAAAATTCGCCAACTCCTTGTCCTTCGAGACGATAAACAATCTTAGATGAATCATCTTGCTGAAACATATCGTTGTATCCTTAACATATTCAAGAGAAGCAATGTTTTCCGATGGAAAACACCTAACGGATATTTTGTTTGCAAATATTTCTGTTAGTTTATTTTTACCAAAACTAATTTCGAGTTCCAGACCGAAACTCCTCCTTTCTGAGTTAACCGGTAATCCCGGAATATACGGTCCTTTATTATAGCAGTATATCAAAACACCAAAAGTATTTCATGCAGAACATTGCATAGTTCTACTCAAAAATAATTACTATACCTTGTCAGCATCGGTAGCTTTGACAAAAAACAATATCTTCGGTACATCTCGGTCTTCTTCAAATATTGTGATCTCATATAAATCCTTTTCAAATTGAGGTGGATTATCGTTTACGTCATCAATGTATACATACAGATCCGTTGTAGCGTTGTGTTTACCATCCGTCACAAATAGTTTCATGTGATACACATTTTCCTGAAGAATGTAAAATATTTTCCAGTTGGATTAAAGCCATTAATTGAACAAAGCATGACATATTCCGGAAGTATAAAGTTGCTTCCGATAAAGTTTGCTTAGAAATTCCATCAAATTTTAGACCTTTTCATAGTCGAGTGGTTCTTTAACAAAGAGTGCACCGGAATCGGTCCGAACTCCGAATGGTATTCGCCCGCCGTACACAGCATACAAATCGTATTTAAGATTTGGTACTGTAACTCGCTTGCTTTAATTACCTTAATTAATTTGACAGTTCTGGACAGAATTCTAGATTTATCTATTAATGGTAAATGACTGATACTAATGTAGATTTCGGGGAGGGTAATAACTTACATCGATCCAAATCATACGCCTTCACAGTAATCACATCTTCATTGATTTCCGCATTTTCTGTAATTCGAGCCTCGTAACGACTTTGCTCGAAGTATGGAGCATTATCGTTGATATCTGCCACAAAGATTTGTACTTTAACGATATCTGAAGTAAATAAGAAGTAGAAGAACTGCAGTAAACTGAGGTGAATTTCCTTTAGCGTGGATTTCTTATATTTTTGACATTTGAAAATCAAAAAATTAAAATAATAGTAAGCCGAAAAGAAATGAATATGTTCTTCCCTAAGAATAGGTCAAGATTTGAAAGCTAACAAGTCCTGACGGCAATCACGTGGTCCTGAAGGTGGTCACCTCAAATTCTTCCCTAGGTAATGCGGAAACGAAATTAAAAACTTCACCAATTTTGAGATTTTGTCTAAAAGTAATCTATAAATCGTCTCTATCAGGTAAGCTTTAGAATAAAGACAAATAAAAATTAAGAGGGCACCTTTATTCGGTCCCGAAGCGCCGGGCAAACTTGATGGGACACTATCATGCGCTTCAACATCAAAAATGAACGAATCATTTTTTCTCGATCAAAAATCTCAAGTGGGTATATTCCACCAGTTAGTTCATCGATCCGGAACAGTCGTGCTGCTCCACTGTCACCATCACTAATGATCTGGTAACGCACTTCGGATTGTGGACCTGGGGAATCCGCATCCTCCGCTTTAACAACTGCTATAGGATTACCATTGTACCTATAACAGACGGAATGGTTAACAAAAAAAAAAAAAAAAAGAACTACCCATATAAAGTAAATTTTACTAAAAACAATATTACTTGGTAAGAAATTCTGTTGGTGTTTGTTCTTCTTCGATATTGCCCGTAAATAAATCAACTGTGAATCGTGGAACCACGTCATTCTTATCTCGTACTATAACATGGAACTGCTTGTCGGATGTTATCAAGCTGCGCATATCCTGCAATCAACATGAATTTCCATAACACATAAGGTTCGAATGTGAAGTGAATGAGATTGAAATTCCTCTATCATTAGTTCTTAAAACAAATGCGCCACTGTAGAAAAAAACTGATTAATTTTTAAAGCTCATCCAAATTTTGAAATTGATTTTCAACCATGGCTGTTATTGTCAAGGTATAATTCTGTTGCTGCTCATAATCCAATCCAACCATATTCCTCACAACAACCCAGTCTCGCCCATTTGTCTTTTCCAGGAATTCACGAAAATGCATATCGTGGTTAGTACCACGACTAGCACCATTTGCCATCCTGCAGTAAATTCAACTGAAAACTTACTGTTGATCATGAGATGAGAAGTTAAAGGATTATTAATCGGTTGTGAAGCCATTATGTGTTTTATTAAATTATCATCCATTTTTACCAGCTGCACAACCCTTTTTAATGATTCAAACCTTTCAGATAATTCCAGATACTTTGATAAGACATTCTTTCTACGGTTATATTCAGCATAAATGGCTGGCTGATAGCAACAGTTTAATTGAGAAGATTCAAATATGGTTAGGCAGGGAGTTAAATAGGTTTATGTGACGTAATATTACCAAAAAATCATTGCTATCAATGAATACTGCCGCTCCGATGTAATTTCAGAAAAAACAACAGACTGCATGGGACACCAACTTGAACGGCTACTATCAATGGAATATACCTAACAATCAAACTAATCATTCATTCAAACTGATGAAAATTATACAGGTACAGGTAGTTACCAAAACTAAGGAAAATCTGATATTATTAGAATAACTAATCAAAGGTACTAACTTGTAAGAAATTGGATTCTTTGGACCATCTCCTGGAATGGCCAAACATCGAAAAAGGACCGAATTAATCTGGAAAATACGAAACTGTGAGGAGAATGACGTATCATCAGTTAAAAATAAATATGTATGAAGTAAAATATTTTGAAGGTACATCTATCAATAACATTTCAAAGGATCTTTGTCTTCCCAATTGCTATGATAATTTCATTAGATTAATTGATCTTTTCAACGTCTCAGAAACTAGAAAACTCCCGAAGCTTCTAAGTGATATTTTTCAAGCCATTAACTTACAGGAATGTCTTCATCCACCGTAACTGTCGTCTTACAATCATCATTTGTTTGCCACTGCGGCGCACTTTGTTGCCTTTCATGGACATTCACAATAACTTGCACTGCACTTCGTTGCACAAGCGGTTTCCCGTTATCATCGGCTATGACGTTGAAAACAAAACGATCTTTCTAAAAAAAACCCAAAGTCTTACCAAAAAGTCCAAAAAATTCCATTCAGGAACTATAAATCAAAAAAAAAAAAAAAAAAACGAACAAGAA